CTCCCACAATGGATCCGTCCGCCCGCCTCTACCTGTGGTGATTTCACCCCGCACACCTCCCACACGCTGCAGCTTGTCAGCCTGGTACCAAAGAGCTTACCCGCTACCACCTGGGCCCTCACCGATCTAGGAATCCCAGCGCTGGGCCCTCACACTGCGCAACCCCGCCGCCTCTGGCCTCACCTGAAGTACCTCCCGCCGCTCCCGGCCTACTGGTGTACCGGCGGTCCTGCCCTGGCCGCACTGCGCACCCGGGTACTCATCGTCTGAACCCTCGTCACCTGATTGGCGTTTCACCTGACTCTTAAGTTCTGTCCTCGTGCCTCACCTGGTCTCACTTGGACTCTCCTCCCTGAGGCTTCACTCTGGACTCTACTACCCCTGCTCCTCACTGGGTGACTCACTCCATCCCACCTGGGCCCTCACTGGACCCCGCCGCCGCTCTCACCTGGTGACTCACCTGGAACCCTTACCTGGACTCCCTCCTTGCCCTCACTGTGGACCCCGCCCGCCCGCTCAACTATATCCTCTCCTCATCTGGGGACTTCACCTGTAGGCTCACGGGCCTCACTCGCGACCCCCTCCCGCCTCACCTGGGGACTCACCTGAACCCTCACCTGCCTCCTGGCTGGGCCCTCACCTGACCCCGCCGCCCGCCTCACCTAGGCCCTCACCTGGACTCCCACCTGGGCCCTCACCTGGGCCCCGCCGCCCGCCTCACCTGAACCTCATCTGGGACTTCACCTGAGGCTTCACCTGGGCCTCACCTGGACGCCGCCTCACCTGGGGACTCACCTGACCTGGGCCTCACCTGAACCCGCCTCCCTTTCATCTGGGCTTCACCTGAGGCCTTCCACCTGGGCCCTCACCTGCACCCCGCCGCCCGCCTCCTTCACCCTGCCTCACTGGACCCTCATCTGGACTCCCACCTGGGCGCTTACCTGGACCCCGCGCCCGCCTCACCTGGGGACTCACCTGAACCCTCACCTGGGCCCTCACCGGACCCCGCCGCCCGCCTCAGCTGGACTCCCACCTGGCCCTCACCTGGACCCCCCCGCCCGCCTCACCTGGGACTCACTACCTTTTTCCTCACCTGGGCCTTCATCATGGACTCCCACCTGAGGCTTCACCTGAAACTCACTATCCGCCTCACCTGGGGGACTCACCTGGACTCCCACCTGGACTCCCACCTGAAACCCTCACCTGGAATCCCACCTGAACCCTCATCTGGGACTCCCACCTGGCCCTCACCCGGACCCCGCCGCCCGCCTCACCTGGACCATGTAGGTGGCCTTCCTCACGAGCAGGATGATGACCGGAGAGATGGACAGGACGAGGACGAGGACGGCGATGCTGATGGCCTCCTCGCTGTCCGCGTTCTTCAGCTGATGCGCACCGTCGACCTGGTTGGGCGGGAAGGGGTCTGTGTCTGTTTCTGTGCAAATATTTTATTACTCTTCCCCAACCCCAACCTCCTCCCTCCTCATCCCTCTGCCTCTTCGTCTCCCAACCCCTATTTAGCCTTTTTCCCCCCCCTCTTTCCTCCTATCTCCCTACCCCTTTTCTCTCCCTCCCTCAAAAACCCCCCCGCCTCTTCCCTCCCTCTCCCAAACCCCCTTTTCCCTCCCCCTCTTCCCCCTCTCCCTCCCTCAGCAAAAAACCCCCCTCCCTCTCCCTCTCCCTCCCAAAAAAAACCCTCCCCTCCTCCTCCTTCCCTCCCCACCCACCCCCCGTCTACTCCCTCTCCCTCCCCTCTCCCAAATCCCCTTATCCCCCTCTCCCTCCCTCAAAACCCCCTCCCTCTCCTCCCTCAAACCCCCTCCCTCTCTCCCTCAAAAACCCCCCCTCCCTCTACCTCCCTCAAAACCCCCCTCCCTCTCCCTCCCCTCAAAACCCCCCCCCTCCCTCTCCCTCCCTCAAAACCCCCCTCCCTCTCTCCCTCCCTCAAAACCCCCCTCCCTCCTTCCTCCCCTCCTCCCCTCTCCTCCTCCTCCCCCCACCCCCCTCCTCCCACCCCTCCTCCCACCCCGCCCTCTCTCCCTCTTCCCCCGCCCAACATCACTGAATCTCCTCCCGGAGGCCGTCTGCATCTTCCTCAGGTCCTGCATTGTACCTGCCCATGGCCTGCAGGTACTCGTCCGCCACCTCCACGCTGCCGTTGATGAAGCCGTTCTCGCGGATCTCGTCGTCCCAGGCGAGGACCTGCTGCATGTAGGCGCGCGCCCGGAGGACCTTGAGGTAGGCCTTCCCGCTGGTGGAGAAGCCCCCGCTGGTCTGGGGGCGGGGCGAGGGGGGGGGGCTTGCGTTTAGGGGTTTTTTTCTTTGCGTCGAATTTTGTTTTGTTTCATTCATCTTTTATTTTTTTTTTTATTTTACTTATTTACATTTTATTTATCATCCATTTTTAGAATATTTCTTTTTCCCTTATCTTATTCATTACTTATCTATTCATTTATCTATTCATTTTTGAGGATGAGGAGGAAGAAAAGAAGGAAGAGAAGGGAAAGAAGAGAAGGAGAGAAGGGAAAGGAGGAGAAAGAGAAGGAGGAAGAGAAGAGGAAAGAAGGAGAGGAGGAGGAGAAGAGAGAGGAAGAGAAGGAAGAGAAGAAGGAAGGAGAAGAAGAGAAGAAGAGGAGGAGGAGCGGGGAGAGATCTATTTCCTTTGTTCTTAGATTCGCACTCCATTTGGTCCAATACCATTGCCATTACGTTGAACAGGTGTGATAGCCGCGATAAGACTTTAAGGTTAAGGTGACGTCACGACAGCGAAGACACGTTAAGGGAAGTGACGTCACAACAGCGAAGATAACGTTAAGGGAAGTGACGTCACAACAGCGAAGATAACGTTAAGGGAAGTGACGTCACAACAGCGAGGATAACGATATGAGAGGTTATTCTGAATACGAGGATTGCAAAAAGAAAAAAATGGCAATGATATATAACTGTATCATAAACCTTATTGATAGATATTGTAATTAGTGTTGTATTGGCATCATTACTGTCGTAATTATAATCTGTATTATCGGTATTAACATCATCATCATCATCAATAACACTTTAAGTTTCATTAGTATTATTCTATTTGTTTTTGCAGAGGGAGGAGAAGGAAAAGGAGGAGGAAGGAGAGAAACAAAGAAAAAGAAAAGAGAAGAGAAAAAAAAAAAGAGACGAAGAAATAAAAAAAAATGAAATCAGAAATAAAAGAAGTAGAAGGAGATGAGGCAATAGAAAAGAATTTAAAAAAAAGAAAACCGAGGAAAATAAACCCCAAGATAAAAATAAATAAAAAAAAAATGAAACGAGGAAAATAAACCACAAGATAAAATAAAATAAATAAATAAAAAATTGAAACGAGAAAAATAAACCCCAAGATAAAATAAAACAAACAAACAAAAAAATTGAAACCCAATCAGCGTTCACTCCATTCTCACCTTTATGCCCGAGTGCGCGATGGTCCAGAACCGCACGTACTGGAAGAGGCTCCCCTGGTCCAGGTGGCCGCGCCCGTAGTAGTAGAGGCCGAAGATGGCGCTGCGGCCGAGGTTCTCCAGGGCCTGGATGATGCTCTTGTAGGCCTCCAGGAGCCTGCGAGGACGGGGGGGAGGGGGAGAGGGGGGAGGGGGATAAAGGGGGGGGAGGAAGAAGGATAAAGGGGGGGGAGAGGAAGAGGAGGATAAAGGGGGAAGGAGGAAAGAGGAGGATAGAGTGGGAGAAGGAAGAGGAGGGGAGGAGAGGAGGATGAAGGTGGGGAGAGAAAGAGGAGGGGAGGAGAGGAGATAAAGGTAGGGGGAAGGAAGAGGAGAGGAGGATAGAGGGGGGAAGGAAGAGCAGGAGAGGAGAGGAGGATAAAGGGGGGAAGAGGAAGAGGAATTTTGTTTCATTTCATCTTTTCATTTTTATTTATTCACATTCTTTGTATTAGGAACGAGGAAGAAGAGGAATGAAGGAAGGAAGGAGAAAGAGAAGAGGATAATAAAGGCGGAAAATGAGGGAGAGTTTTTTTTGTTTTTTTTCTTTGTTCGTTTTTTTTTTATCTCTATTTAGTTTAACTTCGCCAAAAAGAGAGGTAAAGACCTTGCCTCTTTACATGCAGAGATTAGTTACAAAGAAAAAAAAATAATAATAATAATAAAATAACAAAAACAGCGATATTGATGATAGTGATCATAACGAGCGAAAATCGATTCTCTCTTTAACGACTGTGGTTGTATCGGCTAGGATTATAATCCTACGGGAAATATTAATGACAGTGACACCATAATGATCTCTGACGGTGAAGCCACGGCGATAATACTGGCATATGGTGTATAGACAGATTTCGAAGAACAAACTGCATCCCAGACAGCGGTGAACAGTGCCACAGACAACCTTCAGGCCACAGAATCATAAACAAATAAAGTCACTTCAGTTCACTTCAGTCACTTCAGTCAGTTCACTTCACGGTTAATCGGTTTGAGTGTTATTCTGTTTGACTCAAGTCCGCCGGTTACGTAAATGGTTGAGGTTCGTTGCAGCGCCTGTTGCATACACTCAGCGGCCGGTTGCAGACACGGAGACGAGCGGTTCAGAGCACGTTCAGAGGCGTTCTTGCAACACTAACGGCCGGTTTGTCAAAATTGTGCCAGGCCCGACCCGATGGATTTTCATAAATCCAGACGCAGAAATAAAGGCCTATCTATCTATATATCTGATAGATATACATTTAACTATCTATTTGCCGGGTTGATATGCATGTCTAGACTGATAAATATGCATTTATTTCTTTATTTATGCATGTCAAGTATATGAATATTCTTTGGGGTCGGGCCGCGTACAATTCTAACAAACCGGCAGTAAATGTAGGTATAGATGTGTCAGAATGGTTCGTTCAGTGAGAAAAGAAACTTTTTGATACCTAGCGTGTAAATGACAGACCAAAAAAACGAAAGAAAAACAAAAACAAAAACTTTAAAAAACTGTTATGAGGATTTTTAGTATATTTCCGTCGATTTGATTTGTCATTCGGTTATCTGAACAAATTGTTACTGAATAAAGCTGGCGATTAACAGCGAAGAATTGATTATATCCGTGCAGTGATGGAAAAGAAAGAGAGGAATAGAAAGTGAAGAGAAAATATTTTACACATTCACTACTTCACTATTTTCCTGAATATATCATTAGATGTTCATATTAATGATAATAATAATAACAATGATAATGATGAGGATTATTATACTGATAATAACAGAAATAGTAATAATTGTGAGAATGATAACAGTAATAGTGATAATTATGATAATGAAAATTACAAGGATAAAAGTGATAATAAAGACATCAATCATAATAAGAAAAATAATGAAAAGAACAATAGTAAAGGACAAGAAATCCTCCCAAGATTGGTACTAGAATAAATGAAGATAGAAACAAATGAATGAATAACCAAACAAATAAAAACCATCCCAGCAACCCCCCCGCCCCTTTTGCCCCCTCTCCACTCTTCCCTCTCTGCCCCCCTCCCTCGCCCTCTCGCTTCCTCTGCCCCATTCTGCCCCCCCCCTTCGTCTTTGCCCCCCCTCCCCCCTCTCTGCTTCCTCTGCCCCCTTTCTGCCCCACCCCACTCTACCCCCCGCCTCTCCTACCCTCCCCACTCTGCCCCCCCGCCCCCTCTCTAACCCATCTCCCCCCCCACGCCTCTCTTCTACCCCCTCTCTACCCCACCTCTCCCCCCCCACCCCTCTCACCCCCACGCCCTCTCTACCCCCACGCCCACCCATCCCCGCCCTTCTCTACTCCCTCCCCGCCACCTTTTGCACTCACTGCCAGCCCCTCTCTACCCCCCCCCCCCCACGCCCCTCTCTACCCCGCCCTCTCTACTCCCCGCCCCTTTTGCACTCACTGCCAGAGCCCGGGCGTGTTGGTGGTGCTGGTGGAGGCCGTCAGCTTCCGGATCAGCGGCGTCGTGATGGAGGTGTAGAACTCGATCTTGTCGCGGATCTTGGTGTCGCTCACGTCCAGCTGGTCCCTGGGGGGAGGGGGGGGAAGGGGGAAGGAAAGGGGCTTTTTAGGCTTGCTTGTTGAATGTCGTCTCTCTCTGTTTCTCGTTCTCGTTTCTCGTTCTCGTTTATCGTTCTCTTCTCTCTCTT